GAAAATGCGCAAGTTGTTGTACTGTAATCTAAAATTGCTCAATCATTGTTCATTCGCCTTTGTTGACAGCCGTACAAAACGGTCTTTCCTTTCTGACTTTCTGTGCATAAGAGGTTTTTTTTTACTGAATCATTTGATAATGAAAATGACAAAACGAAGCCTTGTACGCCCGTATTATAGTGCGGACTGTTCCACGATTTGGGCCAGCTAATATTTATAATTACAAATATATAATTGAACAATACTTACTGATCGCAACAATTCAAAAGTTCGACTTTCTACAAACCTCGGCATAATCAGTTGTTATATGAAAATAGAGAAAACTTATCTTGATTAGCTGACGTGAGGTTGATAAATGAGTCGTATAAGTTTGGCGACGTTTCGGCGACCCGCCTTCTTCAGAGCCTGGACGTATGTAGTATTAGTCTATTGAACTTACTGAGAAACTGAGATGGCCTATCTTCACTGAATCATACGAGCTCTAGCATATTTCCATTCGCTTCTTTCGCGCACAACCACGTTCTGTAGATATGGTTTGTCTCAAATATGGTGGCAGCTACGAGAACCGTTCCGTGTTCCTGAATTATTTTCACCTGCGAATGCAGGATGCTGACGCTAGCTACAAACACGCTCGCTCGTCGTTTAGGTGGTCGTCGCAAGGGACGTTAGCGATCCCGTGGAATTCCTTCTCCTGTTCTTTCGTCCATCTCTCATCACCTTTGCTTATCGTGCGCCGGCACATCTGCGCTTCGCTATCGATATGTAGTTCCTTGGATTGCGAAGACTGGAACGGTTTCAAAGATCCCAGCTGCGCACTTTTTGTGAGTACTGGGTGATTTCAAAATACCTTGCGTACAGTTTCATGAACTTGGGTGAATTTTAAGACAGTCTCCATAAAAGGCCTAATACTGGAGAACATAATAGGGATGTTTAGCAACAGATAACAACTGCCGCCATTGCCAACATCGTTTCATTCACAAGACACCAATAATGCATTTGATACAAATTTGGAATATTTGCGGACGATTATCAAAGTACTCAACCATTGCCGCGTGAAATAGTTCTGCTCAAACTTCACAGAAGTACAAAAATGTGGAATAGGAGAAGTTCAAAAGTTATAGTCAGCAAGCACTAGACTACCGTCAGTGGTAAGGGTGGGGACTTTGCGGTGATTTCTCGTCAATTTGAAAGTGATATTAGGTTAGAAAATAGTTTTGGGGCACATGTAAAAATTCGAAAATTTTTCGCGCGAATTTTAAGTAAAAACAGTGTAAATATTTTTTAGAGAAAACGCCATCGTTGTCTACGACTTTGTTCCATCTGTCGCCCGAGTTTTGAATCTGTTCCTAGTATCATTCCTTCGGCTTCGAAATAAAGAACTATTGAAGCAGCTATCAAATTTTTTCATGCAGTTTTGCTGGGCGTCTTGAAAGAGGCTTGCCTTCGAACTTTAACGACATTCATTCTGTGCCACGATTTTACCTTAGCACTTTATTTGATCCGTTATCACAGTATTTTTTTTTCGCTGTGCAGATCCCAGTACTTCTAGCATTCAGTTCGTTTTTTCTTCTCTTTGGATGGCGTAGAATAGTGAATGGTTGAGCGAGTCTCCTTGCAATCTCGAGGATAACCTTGTTGTGGCGTCCCATAGGGCGTTGTTTTTGACTGCCAGAGAAGGGGGGGGGGGGGGGGTTGGGGGGCGGGAGGGGGAGGGGTGAAGGTCGGCTTTATGCGCCGTGACCAACATCACAGCCACTCGGCCACTGCTTCCCGATTTCCTGACATCGGTTTTATGAAAAAAGCAACGTGTAATGGACGAGAATTATCAGGTGGTATTCTTGAAGCACTTCGATCTGAGAGAAGCATGAACACGTATGTTGATTTACCTTCTTCAGAGCGCTTTGTGTATCCACGTGATTGTAAATTGTTGTTGTTGATTTATCTTATCAGGCTCGGGTTATCAGTCTAAGATGGTATATAAGGGGCGTTTCTTAGTCGCAAAGTTATTTTCTAGTAGCATGAACAAATCCGATACAGCATCTGACAACATTTATAGCATTATTTGTTCTCTGCTTGCATAGATTCGTCCATGCAGAACCAAGTTAGTTTGAAAAAAAAACATCTCAATTTCGAAAAAAAAGTTCTTCCATTCGAATGTTGCTCTAAAAACAATCACTCCGGTGAATGCTCGAATGTATAGAATTGGGAGCCGCTTTTACTCAGGACCATGCCCTACGCAATCCATCAATTACTAATGCAGTTATTAAACCCAAAACATTCAGCACAACCATCACGAAGAGCGTAATACTTAATGCCTCCGATTGTCCTACACATCTGTCGGTTCCTCTTGCAGTGTGTATGCACAAGACGAACAAACGTAGCACAGTTAGGTTGATATCATTTGCTGGCAATATGAGTTAGTACCTCGATTTTCTGGATTTGGAACTGCAAAAGATCTTGTACACTGCCAAGTACAGTGCACTTTTCGACTTCCTCTTTTTATTTTATCAAAATGTTCTATACATTTCTTTTTGAATTAGATGCAACTAGAATTTTCAAAGTTATTACATTCGTTTTAAAGATATCGAAAAATCACATAATGTACACCAATCTTTTAGGTGAAAAAAGACATCTGTCGAAATTGTCAGTGTGACGACAACATATGTTTTGGAATCACAACTTAAACAACTGGAGTCCCATTATTGACATTGATGCCCTTGACGAATAAATGAAATGATAATAAACAAATCGAAAAATGAATCGAAGTGATCGACACATGTCTGTGATTAGAATGATGGCAAACCACATAGACTAATCATGAAAGGTCCTATCTCTAATTACCTTAATACTGTTCTGATTGGTCATAAATGGCAAATAAGGCGTTAGGCGGTCATCGCCAATTCTAAATATTTTATAATGTTGCACTAGAAAAACCATTTTTAGCATGCCTTTTGGGACACCGTTTGCTCAGCCATGATTCCACCGATCATTTCAGTGTACCACTACAAATCTTCTCCACAACCTATGTTGAAAAAAAATGCGAATCACCTTGTTTCACAATCACACCACTTTCCGATATGCATGGGAGACTCCAGAACGTTTTGTCTTGTAGATGGCAGTGATGCTCCCATTCGACAGTGCACTTGGTGACCAACGACAAATGAGTGATAGTTGATAGTACAATAATGTAGCCCCTTGACAGTATGACGTTCGCGGCGGGTGCACCGTGATCGACTGACAGTGTGGTAGCTTTATAAGAAAATTTTACACTTTTTTGGCCAGTAGATGGGGTATCATCGAAATAGCAAAATATAAAGAAGAGATCCCGATAAAGCTATAGGTAGTGGAAATAACGTTGGTGCTTCTTTCACAACTCCGCATATGGCAAGAGAGGATCTTTTCGTAATTTTTTATATTTATTCATATTTCAATCTTATTTAACTTCGATTCTCTAGAAGAACGACCAATCATTTTAGTAGATAGCAGCAAGTGGATAGAAAAAATTATCACATCATTGACTTGTGCTTCTCAAATCATATATTACGGCGAAAATACTTTTCATATGATCACATTGTATGCAATAAATAAGAGTTACTGTAATAAAAGAGAAAGGATAAAGCTCTCGGCGTTGGTCATTCCCCGAGGGATGCGTCATGCGCTCGTCTTCAATTTTATCTTCGTTTGAGGTGATTCAATGTATATCTGGCCTTCACAATGACCAGCGGTGGCTTCCCGCTGTAACAATTCACTGTTGCTTACACTTCCACACAAGGCTGAGACACGTTTGGTGCCAAATTACCAACGCCGGGGGACGGATTTCTTGGTGAGCTATGAGCGCGAGGTAGAACCACCGACCTTGTGTGCAACGCAGAGTACCTCTAACCACATGTGCTTTGAGAGTCACCATAGTGAATTGAAGTTGGAAAACAATTTATGGTTTGTAAAAACTCATGCTGCGCACTTATGTGATTTTATCTCATCCATAACTCTGTATAGTATTTCCTATTGATGTGCTTCGCGAGATGAGACCTGCCTAGAATTGCGTGGCAGATTTTGTTCCATCGTCCTGCGAGTATACAGTGCTTGTTATCGTTATACTTTACTATGAACATTATTCCTCTTTGAAATTTCTGCCACTGGTCATGCGTACTAGCTCTAGCGCTCCACATAACTTCTTCTAACCGAATGCTCCCAGTCGTCTTCCTGCACTCTGTTCTATTCCCACCTCTCCCAATAACTTCAACATGACCACGTGCAGCTGACCCGTGGCCGCCATCAGTAAAACAAGGACATCTCGGTTTGCTCAACTGTTGGCGATGAGCATCCTCCTCTACTTTAACCTGTGTGAAATTCCCTCTCCTGTATGATTTGCATCGTCTTTTCGCCCACATCACTTTCTAGCAGGAATTTAGTCACCTTTACTCTATCGTCCTTGCTTTGGCATATTGAGCTTGACCAACAGTTCAGGTGTATGCATCTGTCTTTCCCAGACAAATGCTGACACCTGCGCAGTAGTTGGAATGGCTGTATAGAAGTGTTAATACATTCGAAACCTGAGACCTCATGCTACAGCCCCACGCCAGCAGCTTTCCAAAACATCGTTATATAACGCTGTAGCATCCAGATCAAAACTATGCTCCACGCTCTTCGTTTTTATCGTGCGTATATTTCGTTGCAAGCTGAAAAGCAAATCAGTATATAGAGAAATTCTCGTAGTATCTTAGTCAAATGTTTCATCCGGAGTTTCTTCCAAAATGGAGGTAAAATTCCCATCTGAATAACAGAATATCGATCATCCCGCCTCGCTCCGCCTTTGCCACGCTCCCACCCACTGCTGTCGCCTTGTCGAATAGCCTGTAAGCAACGTTACCAAAAACATAAACACTATCTTATTTTTCCTGCCAAAGCGTATTTCCAGCAAATAAGCATATTGCTAGAATCAGAAAAAATTGCGGTATCAGACGGCTGTTAATAGGGAATTGAGTGGTTAATAGAAGTACGATCTCACACGGGAATCGAACCCGCGTTCCATCCATACCGGGGACACATGCTAGCACTACACCACCGAGGTTCATTTGCGCCACCGATCATTCTTCAATAACTCTAAGATAGCTGTCAGCCACCAACCCTTAACAGGTTGATAGTGTATTCGATTTTGCTTTATAAACCCACTAGAGTTGACAGCTATTGTGATAAGTAATAATTCAATTATCTAGTGTTCTTACTGCATTTTTCGAAGTGTTATGGTGTTTCTAATATACCTCAGAAAATTGAGTGGTGAGTAAATATACATCTTGAAAATAATTAAATTTTCTAATGTTTAAAATTATCAGTGAAAAAATATATCTGCTCACCACTCAATTTTCCCAGGTATATTAGAAACACCACAGCACCCATGAAAAATGTAGTAGGAACACTAGAAATTTGGATTACTACTAATAGTCTAAAGAAAGCTCCGTCTTGTGAGTTTTGAAGCACACATGAGAAGACCAATGCTGATTAAAAGATAAAAAGAGCTCTTCAAAAAGCAAACTCATTTTTAAACTCTTTGAAGCTTGTGATATAGTTTGAGTTCTAGCAGTCTGAGGAAGGAATGTCGTCCAGCGAAATATAAGCGATATTGAAGGAAGGAACACCTGGTTTTACGAGATATGATTTTATTTTGAATGTTGTAGTGTTATTATGCATATACATATTATTATAAATGACAGTGTTATTATGTATATTATTATGTATGTATATTATAAAGGGGTGTTTTGGAAAACCGGCGACGTGGGGCTTTACCCTCAAGTCTTAGCTTGCAAAATGTGACTTAGACTTCTACGAAAAATTTTTCTTCAGCGAATGAGGTCGATTTTACATTTCTTCCCTTTTAATCACAAAGACAGTCCCTCGCCCTCCCTCTCCTTTTTTTCCCCGAAGTAATCAAATGACTCTCAATAGCGCAGAGAAAAATCAGAAAGTTCTAACTGTTGATTTTAGGGAGTGAAAGTCTTATCCAACAAGCGTAAGTTGTTGACAAATGATAACAAATTTTACACAGCAGAGGCAAATGTCGACCGATGGTAATGTGTGGTGACCGATGATGATTTTGAAGGGACTGTTACGATCCTGATGCAAGAGCCAAAGTACTACCAAACAAAACTTTCCATACGTCTTGTATAAACTTTGGAACTCTAAGAAAAAAACAGGAAGGATGAACACTTGCCTCACTACCACACATCACCACACCACATCTCTCATATTGTACTTTTTGTTTTAGTTTTTTAAATTGGGTGGGATAACTCGATGTCATAAGGGAACCATATAGGTAGCTCCACAACTTGGATAATGGCATTCACTAGATTGAGGAAAAAGCTCCTTGACACCAACCAAAATTCAACTTTTGTATTTCTTTTCACAGAGTGTCGGTTTTCGTAAATTCATGGGACAATTTCAAGACTATTTTCATAAGAAAGCAGGTAGACCGTGTCTATGATACGTTAAAAAAGCACTCGATATTGGCTTGTCGAAGGCGCGCGCTGTTTCAGCAAGATAGTGCCAAACCTCACGCCGCAAAGAAGACTAGGGAGTTTGATGAATTGGAGGGAGTCGAGGTCTTGTCGCAAGCAGCCCACAGTGCTGATGCAGCTTCGTCCGACTATGGTCTTGTTTTTACTCGAAAAAACTTTTTTTTTGCGTGGGCGCCGATACGAGACATTTGGTCAAGTTGAAAGGCATGTCAGGAGTTTTATTAAAAGCCCAAAGAAGGTATTTCGAGCAGATTCAGAAGCTTGAACCATTGGCAGAACATCGTTGTGGGTAATGATGATCTTTATTTTGAAAGACAATTAGTGATGTTTTCAATAGAATTTATATACAAGTTTTGGAAATCAGCAGGTGTTGAGGAACTTCATTCTCAACTTAATAGATTTTCCTCGTCACTTCCGTGAAACATGACCTCATGGAGGCTTTCAGTAGTAGAGACAATGGTCCACATAACCTCTTGAAAGGTAATTTTCCTTCTGAAAACTTATTTTGTCTCGTAGAAATTTTTTCATGTACTTTTTTTGAAGCTTGCTAAGCAGAAATGCTGGGTTGATATATGCTCGGCAAAAGTTCTTCTCTGCATTTTGAAAAATCTGAAGAGCCGTTCTTTGCACCAGTTTACAAATCAGGAATTTGTGATGTAGGGACAGTGAGTTGCTCTAATTCCCATAGCCATTCATTGACTGTGTAGAGTTAGGGTTTGAAAAACAGCAAAATTGAGACACGTAAGTTGAAAATACTTCCATATGCTGACAGAGATGTTTTTTAGACACTTTAGACTCTTTATTGATTCGTGTCTATAGTGCTTGTTCCCTGTGCGGATCCCAGTACTTCCAGCATTGAATTCGTTTTTTTCCAGCTTCTTCTTGAACCTCGTAGAATCCTGGTTCGTCACGTTTCTCGCAATCTCGTAAATAGCCTGGCAGTGGAGCTCCGTAGGAAGTTCGTTTTTGACTGCCGGAGAGTGTTGGGGGTCGGAAATCAGCTCGCGCGCACCGTGAAGAGAATCAAAGCCACTCGGCCATGGCACCTCATGTTTGATTACAAAGTAAAGATAATAGCGCAAAATTATTTGACTACCTATTCACTTTCGGCTTTCTGCCACGATGATTGGCTGTTCCCTCAGAGAATGAAACAGATTTATAATTAAACCATGAATAAATACAAGCAGAAGTGCATGAAAAGGGACACTAAAATACAACAACTTCACTCTTCGAGCTTCTCGTCACTCAGCGGATAAGAATGTCAAATGGGCGAACCTTTGTCATCCATTAAGCAGAGCATTCTGAAGTATCCTATGCTTTTCGGAAGTGGTGTGACTATGAAACAAAATGACTTGCTTAATTTTAGAAAGAGAAGGTTGCGAGAAAAATTTATAGTGGTATACTGAATTAATCGGTGTAATAATGGCTGAGCAGTCGGTGTACCTAAAAGAGTATCCAGATGATTCAGCTCTTCGAAAGCAGCATTATGAGTTCTCTAGGAATCGCGATGAACGGCCAACACCTAGTTGAAGTTTGTGCCGATTCATAACAATTTTGAAGTATAAGATCGACTGCTGATGAAACCTCGCAATAAACATTCAAAATAATTCCGAAAAAAAAATGCTTAAAGCCTAGACGAGGCGTGCCAACCTCGCTTAGACTTTGAGCATTCTTTTTTGGAATTTTGAAGAGGTCCGAGGGAAAACTTTGCATGATCAGTCGTGTAGCCTGCCATTATTCTCAACATATATATGTATTTTTCATTCTCAAATCTTCTCAATTTCGGACTTATGTGCTGGTGGAAACATTAGTTGAAAATGTTTTATTATCACTTCATTTGTCCGTCACGTTCAACAATGAGACTCCAGCTGGCTGAGTTGTAAATGCAGTAACGTCACATTGACATCACATCACATCACATTGACCAATTTGACAGATACACTTCTTTTCATCTGAAAGATTACTGCATATTAAGTGATATTTCGGTGATTCCAGAACATTTTGCATGAATTTGAAGCTAATAGATGTAATCTGATAAGGATATGACATATTTTGAGCCATAGGTCTAGTGCTATATAGGCGCCTATTTCGTCCTATTGGGACTCATCAGTAGCACCCTCCCTCGGTTCCGTCGATCCCTTGAGGTTAAATAATCCTCTAAAGGAATCGGCGCCGAGTAAAAACTAATCACCCAAAGTCGGATGATGGTCTTACCTGACTTTGTGGTGACCGGCAGTCGAGCTTACGGCTTTTAAATGAACTATACTTCTGCTATCGACTGCTTTTTTACAGACCCGCTCAAAATGATTTAATCTGATAAGGATATGACTTATTGGCTTGACTTATGACTTACTGGCTCAAAATAAGTCATATCCTTATCAGATTAAATCATTTTGAGCGGGTCTGTAAAAAAGCAGTCGATAGCAGAAGTATAGTTCATTTTAAAAGCCGTAAGCTCGACTGCCGGTCACCACAAAGTCAGGTAAGACCATCATCCGACTTTGGGTGATTAGTTTTTACTCGGCGCCGATTCCTTTAGAGGATTATTTAACCTCAAGGGATCGACGGAACCGAGGGAGGGTGCTACTGATGAGTCCCAATAGGACGAAATAGGCGCCTATATAGCACTAGACCTATGGCTCAAAATAAGTCATATCCTTATCAGATTAAATCATTTTGAGCGGGTCTGTAAAAAAGCAGTCGATAGCAGAAGTATAGTTCATTTTAAAAGCTAATAGATGTATCAACATTGCAAATTCGGGTTGCACCAATTTCAGAAGAAAATTGCGACCAACATTTTGATGAATCAAAAAGACCGGATCAGAAAGTGTTCTGCAATCTGACAACATGCACGATCTCTTGCAGTTTGAAATCGAAAAAAAATGGAATTTCGATTATATCGCCAGCAGCTGATATCAACCCAGCCGTGTAATGTTTGTTCGTCATGTGGATACACATCCACTGCACCAGGAACCGAAAGATGTGGAGGACAATCAGAGGCTCTAACATTGTGTTCTTCGTTCTATGACTGTGTTTAGTGTGCTGGGTTCAATAGTTGCATTAGGAATCGGTCGGCGAAGGACATGGTTTCGAGTACAAGCAGTCCCAAGTCTATATTAGGCAATGTTTTTAGCCATGTAGGCAAATGGTAGAGTTTTTTCGAAATTGAAAAAACAATTCATACTAACCTTATTTTGCAGGAACGGATCTAAACAAGCAGAGAATAAATAGTAGTAGAAACGCTGCTAGATGCTATCGCGGATTTTGTTGTTGCTACTAAAAAATGACTTTGCGACTGGGAAACGTCCCTAACATACCATCTTAGAATTGATAGGGCGAGCATGATAAGATAAAATAGCAAAACAACAACTCGCAATCAACTGGTTACACAAAGCGGTCTATGGATGTCAGTCAACCTACGAGCTCGCCCTTTTATCAGATCGACGTACTTTGCGCACACCACTTTATAATTCTTGAGCCTTTGCACATTGGCTTTTTTACTAAACCGAGATCAAAGTCCGATCCTCAAACGGTGGCGCAGAAATGAATGTCGTCAAAG